CAACACTGGCGTTCAGTGGCGCCCTGGCTTTAAGGAAGGCTTCCCCAAGTGTCCTCTGCTCCAAAATCAGACTGCAGGTAAAGCAGGCTTGACCAACTTAGCAAATTCATTACCATGGAACAAGATTTAGAATTCACCCAACATCCTCACTTTTCCAGTTTTTCCACCATTGTTGCTCAAACCAAGAGACCCTTCCCCCACCTCCCTCCCTCTCCCCATGTAACTCAAATGGAGCAGGACCACAGGTGCCAAATCCATGGCAGGTAACAGAAAGGTATTTACAATCCTAACCCAGGAAAACGACCTAACAACCAAAAACAAATCAAAACTCAATTGAACAGCACAAAAACCAAGTTACTACCTTCAGAAACACGGATTTATTTTGTAACAGCACTGCATTTTAAGCGCTGCTCTCACTAAGGTTTCTCTTGAGAAGGAGGAAAGCTCTTGGAGGCTCGGTGTATCCAAGGAGTGCTCTGAGCAGGGCCATCAGCGTTGGGCACTCTGAAGAGTCACTGAGCAAGGCCTGGGGGAGCAGGGCACTCAAGAGCAGTTTCCTCTCAACGCTTTAAATGATCACTAAGTGCAGCAGCATTTTAAAGAAGCAGACGTGTAGTTAAAAGCACCTTAATGCCCACACAGTGCCCATAATCAACACGGGCATTATGCTGCTATTAACAGTGAAGCAAAGATATTTTTTGAGCTAGAGGAAAGGAGGAAAAGATTGACAAAAAGAAATTACAATGTTCAGGGTCATTTTTTGATTACCTGGAACTCCAAAAATGTTCCTACTTCCCCCTATTTTTCAGAACATTCTTACATCAGAAGCAAAATCCAGTTTTTAAAGCCATCATTTTTAACAGAATTTCACAGAAAGGTCAGAACACAGCCCTACAAAAAAAAAGCCTCACTGCAGACACCACCAAATGGAGGTTACTGACTCTGTAACAGAGCAACAGCCACAAGAATGAAGGGTTATTGCTTAAGTCAGTCTTACAATCATCATGTAACTCATAAAAAAAGCATATTTTGGGCTAAGTCATGTAAATACCCTCAGTGGTTTTCTTGGCCCATTTTTTTTCTTTGTCCTTTTAGCTCTTAAAATAATTCTGCCAAATAGTTTCTCGTAAGCTGTTCCTTGTCTGGGTTGTGCACCAATTTCACAAGGTCACCAGTTCCATAACCTTGTGTGCTCAGGCCTTTCGCCTTCAAATGTTTTAGGGATTTTCATTTTTTTTATACTTTGAAGTGACAGGAATCAATCCTCTTCTTCAGCAGTCTTTGGGCTTCATAAGCAAGGGCAAAAATCACTGAATACTAAACAGACTTGAACAGCAAGTATTCTCTTTAGATCTCATCCTGACACAGATGAACAGCTGGTGAAAAATAGTTTCTCGTTAAAAACTTGCCTTTCTAAATTAAGAAAAACTTAGGATTTTTTTGTGTGCCCCACAGAATGAGTAAGGTTCATTCACCTCGTTTTAGCCACCGCCAAATGAACAATTTAGAATAAATGTGGTCATATAGGTATCTTTTGTCCTACAACAGGAGGTAAGGACCTTCAAGAGCCCATTCATTCCATCTGAGGATCCAACCTGAAGCTACTTCTTGGGAAAAGCCGGTGAAGTCTCTGGAGGTGCTCCTCTCTCCCCATGCTGGCTCAGGTGGCTTTGCCAAAAGGTGACAAAGTAAGTACAAAGTGTCAGAGCGGGCAGGAGAAAACAGACGAGCCCCTCTTGCATTTCCTCTCTGGAGGGTGTCCTTTGGGTGAAAGAGAGTGGCATTCCCGAAGAAGAACAGACAATCCCTACTGCAGAACACTCGAGGCAGGGGACAAAGGAAACTGACAGTCATTTCACATAAGCTGCTGTGACAAACCCGTAAACTGGAATTGAAAAAGTCAAGCGAAGCAGCCAGGAAAATACAAGCCATTAGCCTGTGCACATAAGCTTGCAAGAAACGGGAAAGGTGAATAAAAAGCCCGAGATGGAAGGAGGCTTGTGTCACAAAACACCACTGTCTTTTTATGGCTAAGATAAATTACCGTTTCCCAGAGAAAAGCAATGCAGTAGATTTAATCGACCCTGGAGAATCAATTAATAAATTACTGTCCAGGAAAGCTCTGTTTCAGGTGTTCAATACTAATATAGGGCTGTACAAGTGCCCACACTGAATGGCCTATGAAGGGAAAGGGGAGACTGGAAGGTGACCAAAATAGCAATCTTGGGACCAGGAAATAAATACATGCATTAATGTAAATATATAAATTCATTCATACTGGCACATAATAAGATGATAAAATATGCTGCCAAGAAAGTAACTGAAGCCTTTGAAGGTTTTAAAGAGAATCACTGAACACAAACCCAAGCACTTCAGGATGTCTAAAAGCCTGATGGCTTTGGCCCACTGCAGACTTGATGCAGTTAAAATACTTCCCATCTTTTGTCTCCACCCTTTTCCTTGATTTTTTTACAAGATCTGTAGACATATAAGTAACTAAAGAATTTACATATGTATTTACACGTATATGTATATCATTATACTTCGGCATTAAAGCAGGACTGCAGACCAAATTTACAACGCAGACTTTTTACTCTATCAGCAGATATATGCCGTAATATAAATTGTTGACTTAAATTTAACTCTGGCACACTCTGGCAGGCAATAAAATAACAGAGGACACTGGTATTTAAAAGTACAGAACAAGATCACCCTTCCAGTTTTGAAGAAGAAATACCTCAGGATTTTATAAACAGAGTTCCAAAAGGTTTTGTTTTGCTTTGCTACAACAGTACACAAACCCTACCAACAGCTCATACATACACCAGACTACACCTGAGCTCAGAAAACACACCCCAGTTTTTAATACTCACTTGGTGGCAGTATTAAGGTAACACTGTTGAATAGCTCACTTCATCTTAAATATGTCTGATGTCCTCCAGCTGAAGAGACAGATTCACTGATCTTATGCTCTTTCCTCATAGACTACAATGCAAAGAATTAAACATCTTTCTTTTCTTACAGATTACCTCATCATATATTCTACAATTTAACCTTTATCTTTGTTTTAACAAACCGTAAATACATCTGATGGTCTTTATGCACATTTTCTCCCTTCTGTTACCTCCAATTTGCATCCTTCCTATTTCTTCTCCCATTCACTCTTCCATTTTTGTTTTTAGTTCTCTGCTATTTCCACATATGCTCCTTGTCTGTAGTTTTTTCACTAATTCTAGACTCTGCCTACAATAATTTCTCATCAGTAACATTTTGCCTCTTCCTCAGGGATGTTCTCTTCCTAAAGGATGTCCTTCACTGCCTGAGGTTATCTGTGAAAGTTAACTGAGGAGGTTATGGCAGCATAAACACAGAGTTCTCTCCTCGTGAAGTGTCCCCTTGCGATCAGCTGGGCCTGAAAGACCCAGCTGGGATAGAATGGTTTAGGTTACACCTGTGGGCTGCAACCTACCTGCATTTTACCTGTGAGCTGAAAAAGTTCAATAAAACAAAAGCAAGCAGCACTCCCACAGCTCTGTATCTGTTCACTGCAGGTCATATAAATACAGCTGAAAGTGACAAGTACACGTGTCTTTTTTCACTCCTATTGAACAACATAAAACCAGCAAATTCTTTGAAGTACTGTGAAGTCATTCGAGATGTGACCGTGCTTGATGTTCTCTGAAATAAGCAAACATGCCAACCACAACCAGTTTTATATCTCCCTGTCTTCTGCAGACAGGCAGGTTTAGGTATATTATATATATTACTGCCAAAGCAAGGCAACAGAACAGAAATCAGTGTCAACTCCTAATGTCTTTAAACACTATCAGTTTCAAGAACAACGGGCTCAGCTTTTACATGAGAATCAAAACTATGCTTTTCTATGCTGTTTCCCTCTCAGTGTTTGTCACAGGACCTCCAAATATCATCAAGAATCAAGGAGTGCAGTGGCAAAAATTTTTCAATTTTCTCATCAAAATACCAGAAAACAAAATAAAACCAGGCAAGCCTACTGAAAACTCTTCCCACTGTTTCTGTCTCTTTTGCCACTTGACTGCAATGTCAGTTTACTCTTGTTCACATGAAGACAATTCTGCCCTGGACATATTTGAACTTACTAAGAAAGAGCTCAAACAAAATTCCCATCTTTTCTTGTGGTAAAATAAAACAAATGTCATTAAATGTAAGGTACTAGACATTGTTTAGATTGACTGAGCTAGGAATTAGACTTCTGAGTTCAGGAAGCCAAATCCTATATTCTAGAGACTTGCCAGATCTCTTAGGAGCAGTTTAACTGCCCAACTGTTAGACTTGCAACCATTTAAAATATGGAAGTACTGGGAACTAAATAGATTTATTTTTTTTATTTTTTTTTAAATTAAATATACATTATGACAAGCCAGAGATTCATTTATGGAAAACACAGGAACCATTTACAGAATAGTGCAGTTACACCCCCTGTGGCCAGTAAAGGCATTTTCCAATATAGGATGCCCTCTTTTTTAATATTATGGAAATGGAAAGGAGACTACTAAACATTTTAGAGCGTTTCAATTTTGTTTTGCAAAACTGAAGACTTTTTGGAGTATCTGATTACTCCTTAACAGTGTTTTAAGTGGAAGTAGACACAAAGCATGCACCTGATTCTCTGAGTTTGTCTTTCACCTGCTTGAGCAGGCATGGGCAGGCCAGCGCAGGGAAGTGGGAAGCTGCCACCTCATTATTTACAAGTCTCCAAATAACATTCCACGCATTAATGACCCCAGTAACACTCTTCTATAACTCAAGAAACCTCACAGAGACCATGTAATTCAAATAAAATTTTACAAATTTTCCATTTTTGCTCCGCATGGTCTCGTCCTAACTCGAGAGCTCGCCACAAGGAGAGCGGAGCCCTCAGAGGGAACGAGCGGTGCCGCAGCCGCGCCCAGAGGATTCCCTTGGGAGGTGGCAGCTGAAGGGAAGGCGACACGCACTGGAGCTCCAGCCCCCAGCCTTACCAGCCCTGCTGAGATGCTGCACGTGCACCATGACTCCCTCGGTGTAGGCCCCTGGCTCGTAGCTGTCCATCTCGCCGGCCACGATGTGAGCGACCCTGGCGGCGCGGCCGCGGATGGCGCCCGCCGCGCGCTCCAGGCCGTCGGCGTCCTGCTCCCGCAGCGCCACGATGCAGCGGTTCACGTCCTCCAGGATGTGGCTCTCTGCAAGCACAAGGGCACAGCTTTAACACCTCCTCGGGCACCACACACCGCTTACACAGCTGGGCTGCACAGCTTACAGCCCCAAACCTGCGCTTCAAGCTCTCCAAGCAATTTACTGCTGCCTAGAATTCAGAGGCACTGCAATGCTCTCCTCCCAGCAAGAGCAACAATACAAAAAAATACAAAAACCACAAAACCTTACCTACAAAGTAAATATTTGCAAAATAAATAAAAATTTATTAAAGCTGCTACTTTATTGTTGAAACCTTCTTAGGCCACTGTGACAACATCTTCCATAATGAGATGTGTCTCCAATGACAAACAACTGCCCAACAACTAAATTCACTTTTTAAATCAATGCCTTAGGATGCTCATGCTAAATCAAACTCTAAAGTAAACTACCACCCCTCTGTCTTTCCTAGATATACATTTTTCAACTGGCAATAGTGAAGTTGTATTTGTGCTTACCAAACCAGCCTTTGATAATCAAGTATGTAGAAATGGGGAAACAGCAGCAGGAAGGACAAAGGAGAAAATACTGGTAACTAAAGACTAAAACCTAAACCAAAGCATAAGATGCACAAGTAAGGATTCAAATCAAGCTAGAAGACAGCAGCGTCAAGAACTACAGAGAGTACAGTTACATAGTATGTTAGTATTTCCATCTATACAACCAATATTGAAGAATGTACTCTTCTTTTTCAGGCAAAGTAATGCAAATATGAAATTAAACTTATGGTACAAAGGTAGTATCATAAAATACATTTTAAAATGATAATATGTTTCCTGCTTTACAGCTTAAACACGTCCTAAAAACTTCCCTACTAGCTGGTATTGCATTTCCTTTCCTACACAGATTTGCAATCTGCTTTGTCTCCCAAGAGAGCGTACTACAAGAACATCAGAAGTGCACTTTGTGAAGGCAATAGATCTGCTCTGCCTTCAGAAGTACCAGTGAAACTTCCCTTGCACTAAGCCAGGAATTAATTCAGAACTTACAGTTTTCCTGTTAATTCACATGACTGCCATTCTGTACACGAATACTAAATTATGTTTTATGTTATCCAATAAATTAGACAATCACAGTAACTTGGACAGATAAAACACACCATTAGGTAATCCTGAACTACTACCTGGGTCTGGCACGACTATCTTGGGATTCTGCCTATGCAAAAACCTATGAACTCTGGTTCAGCTTCTGAAATGGCTCCATCACAGAACATCTCTGGAAACATAAAACATCCTTATCCTTTTCAGCTCCACATCACCACCTCCCCAGTGTGCAGAGGAAGAGGAGTTTAGCAATGCTGCCCATGTCAGCACTGAGTGCACAGCGGTAGCTGCACCCAAGGAGTGCCAGCTCCACACAAACAGGGCACTCAGAGCCCTGGCAGCTGCCTCGGCCCCTCCAGTGTCAAAGACAACATGACCAGCTGGGAACAAGGGGCCAAATGAGCAGGCACACAAAGGTGTTCCAGGCTCTAACCTGTGCTCTACAGCTCATACCCAGCTTTCCTTTGCCAGCCAGCTCTTCCTGTGGGCTCCCACAGGAGGAGGTTTACAAACAAACTGGTTTGTTAACGTGCACAACGATGGGGAGAGAGGGCTGACATGCACAGAACGCAGGAGAAAAGACTAAACAATCCCACTTCTGCTGCCACAGTTACATCCAAAATGAAGCAGTATGGGCCACCATTGTATTAGTTTTAATGCTGTCCATGTGTTAGCAGAGACAGTGACAGACTGGACAGTGCAACCACCATTTCAAGGGCCTTGCTGTGAAGGGTACACTGCTTTTTATGGTCCAGCAAAGACAGCAATTAAAGAGCTTAATCCTGTGTAAACAGAAAGGCAGGGCTCTTCCAGGTCCTACCAAGCAAAATCTCATAATGGAAAAACACAGTTACCTGGTTATTTCATATTATATGACTCTCAGGGGCATTAAAAAAATAGAACTGCGTGTGGCCTCAGGGACATACTGTATGAATGGAACATGTGGTGGAAAGCTCACAGTTTCCCACCTTTCTAAGGGATGTTTACAAACAACGCTCTTCTAGAACAGCAAACCTGAGAGTGGATGCTCAACAGAAATGCAATTAGACCTGGGTGTTGTAAGCCTGAGATTCCCATCAGCAGCTTCCTTCCGAACTGACAAGACTACTTTTAAACCATTTTAGAGCTGGATACAAACTACACTGTGAAGTCTGCTCTCAGGAACAGATATCTCAGGTATCTGTGTTCCAGAGATGACAGAGAGGGATACTGATTTTATTAATCTTGTACTGTCCATCCACCTTGTAGGAGAAAAGCAGCACAAGAGCTTTTCTTGCTCCATCCACCCACCCCCAGATCACGGGAAGGTGCCCAAAGCCATGTGTGCAGCACACACTCCCAAGCCCTTGGCAGCACAGCACCACATACACCCTGCACACTCAGAAATCACAGGGGAGCCTGTCCCCAGCACAGCCACAGCCAACAGGCAGCCTCTTGCAATGTTCTCAAGCTCTTCCCAGAGGAGCTACTTCACAATCAGTAAAACCTGGCTTAATTTCATTTTCCCAAGGCACAAGTAAGCTTATACATTTCCCTCAGGAGATCTAATAGAAAAGAAATAGCACTGATGTCCAGCTGAGATTGTCTCTGCCTCTATCTTTCTTTCAGATACTTCTCCTCCTATACCAAATGCATGAGGTCAACTTTTGATTTCCAGCCAAGTATCTTACTTTCCAAAGCAGAAAAGGAAGATTAGGATGATGGACCATCTCTTTGTCACAAGTCAATGTCTAGCAGAAGAGTTAATTGTAGCAGCAGATTGATAGATGTTTAAGGAAATTGTCAGATTGCCATGGTTGCCATGGCAGTTATCACAAACAGTGCACTGCACCTTCTGATTGCCCTCTAGGATTTTGGTGTTAGTCAATAATGGCCAAAAATCATATCTCAGCTGAGCTAACCAATGGCTAATAAAGCTGTCTGAAAAGGCCACGACTCAGACTGTCTCTGGGACAAAATCAATAGCTCTTCCTCTGCACGTCATCTAAGAAAAAGACAGGTGACGCCCTTCCACTCCACTTGGCACTGATAAGGCCTCAGTTGAAGCACTTTAATTAAACTTTCTCTGCTCAGCTTAACAAAAAATAAAATTGTGAACTAAATGGAGACATTATGAAAAAAGAAAAGATAAATAATTACTAGAAATTAAAAAAATTTAGTACCTGAAGAAGCATTATAAAAATCAATTTGGTCCCCTGAAGACAAGACAGAAAATAAAACATTCATTTCTGCAAGCCCTAAATCATAAAATTAGGAATGTAAGTAGTGACAGTCTGGCCAAAAAATGATTTCTATCTTTTCCCATCTGTAGGCATGATAAAACGGGAAGCACAGCAACTTTGTACAAGCAGTCTACTTCCCTTCAGATGACTCCTATTCCCTGGGCATGGTACCTTGGAGCACTCATCAGAAAAGGACCCCATGTTTTCCAACAATGGCACTATCCAGCATGGCAAAAGATATGCTCCCACAGATTTGTAATGCTTTGATGAACTCCAGAAAGATATCTGACACCAAGAAAATGGTAAGAACATCCATACTTAGATTTAGCAAGTTTAGTGCCAAAGCCGAGAGAACAAAACAACTAAGTGGAAAGTGCAAGTCCCGGTAAGCAATTCCTCGTTATCGCCTTTCTTGTATTCAGATAGGAAAAAAAAACCAACCCAACAAAACCCAAGTTAATCTAATTCCCACCTTTTTGCTACATACTGAAGTTCAGACAATGCTCAAGGCTAAATCTCCATCAGCAATCTTATGAAATAGATTTTCTTGGCACTTGCAGCTCTTTTAATAAAATATCAATATTCTACAAGCAAGACAGTGTCTTAGTCACTACTCAGAAACAAAATCACTGGTAATCACTTAATGTCCAAAGCTCCTGGCAATTTCAAGAGAAAAATTTTTAAATTAATAGAAAAGTGTAGAAAAATAATTACTTTGAACAAGGAAAATACATATCCTTTCTTCTCTAATTGTATTAATGTTCTTCATCTGCCAAATCTAAGAAACTAAATGATAATTCCTAATACTGTTTGTTGCTAATCCATCTGACAACATTGCCATTCTGTCTCAGAAAGGTGGTACTATAACAGGCAGGGTTCCCAATTATCTGGTATTTAGCCAAATGCATTCACACTTCCAAAATTCAGCCAAATGCAATTCACACTTCCACACACAAAGCTGTAGAAGCGTACATGTGTCTACTGTCCGGCTTAAAAGGCAAGGAGCACCCAGAAAGCCACAGGTTAAAGCTTCACCTCAGTCCCTGTAATAATTATGGAGCAAGACCTCGAGGAAAATATTTCCAGGCACCAGAAGGGCAAGAAGATTATTAGGAATAAGCAGTACTGATTTACTACTGGGGGCAAATCAAGCATGGACAGGCTGCTTGCTTTCAGCGATGAAGGACTTCCCCTGCCTGGGGATGGGGCCGTGCCCTGGTCATCCCTGACCCCAAGGACACTTGTGCCAGTGTCCCCAGGCTCCCCACAGGGAAATGATGGGCAGGAGAACAGGAGTCAGGCCTGCAGGCTCACTGAGGAGCAGGACAAAGCTGCATGAGGACAGCTGCTCCTCAGGAAGGCCAGGAGGAAGCTGGCACCATTCAAAGGCCACACAGAAGCCACCCTGAGCAGCTCTGCAGGTGACATCGACCGGGCAGCCTGGCTGGTTTGTACCCCAGAGGACCGGGCTGACACCCAGAGCAACCCTGACAACCTGGACCAATGCAACAACAGGCTCAGCAGGAAAGCAAAGGAAACTTGGGACTTGATGCAAGGGAATAAAATAGTTTCTCCATTATGAGCATGAGGAAACATTACTTCAAATTGCCTGTGAAGACCAGAAATTAACTGATGCAGACAAGTGGGTGCAAATGCTGTTGTTTCTAGATGCTAGAGAAAATTAATTTATTATTCCCTTTGTGGCAGACTTTTTCAGCACTGCTT